GAATGGATTACAAAAATGTAATGTTCCCTCTCTGGAATATTATTCAGCCTTATACTGACAATGTATATCCATTGGCAAGAGCATGGTCAATCATAGAGTATTATGCTAAGAGAAATAAACAAGACATAGAAAAATCAGATACTAAAAGATCTCACTTATATGTGTAATATAAAATTGTTATTAAACTCATAGAGGTGGATAAAACTGGCAAATAAATAGCAAGCTTACTCCTCAAAGATACTGGAGGGAGGGAGGTGAGAGTTGAAAGGATACAAGGTTTAGGGTATGTAGATTCTGTAAATGTCATGTACAATATGGTGACTAAAGTTAATTACTATGTATTGTACACTTGAAATTGCTGGGAAGTAAACCTTAAATATCCTTATCACATAATGGTGACTCTGAGATGACAGGTGTGTTGATTGGCTTCTGTCAACCATTTTACCATTTCACAATAGATCCATATATTAGAACATGGAGTCTTCATCGCACACACATGCAAGCGCGTGTGTGCACACCCCCCCCCACACACAGAGTTTTTGTCAGTTATTTCTCAATAAAAGATGGAAAATACTGTTTTGTCATCTTTATCACCTGATTTATTTTTAAACCACTTAAAATCTTGGTGATTTTCTTTCTTATTTCAGCTATTGCTGTGAGTACCAGTTCTGAGCAGGGCTGTGGTCACCTTGATTTGCTCTTGTTAAGGCCATATACCCTATACCCCATGCTTCTCGCCTGTCTTCTCCTTTGATGACATATTGTGAGTGGCTCATGGAAATTCACTGGGTATCCAGGCATAGACTACTTACCAGTACTTGGGGTTAATGCTTAGTGGGACCCAAGAGGGAAAACCATCACCTTCCATCTACCTTCAGAACATTCTGAGACAAATTTTAGGGAGTCCTGCAAGATCTAGGAATTCTTGTCTATGAAGTTATGAGTTCCACACTGCATTTTATATAGTTCTTTTCTTTCTTTCAGTCTGGTTGTGGTTCATCCTTGCTCACTGGAATGGACTGATGCCTGTAGTATGTCAGCTTTGGCTTCAGGGAAACAGCCTGAGCTCTGGCAACGGGGCCTCCGAGTTTTAGAATTATGTCATTGTTCCATGGCTCTCTAGTCTCCCTCTGCTTTTCTCCATTTGTGTCTCCTAACTTTAATCTGGCTTCAGTTCACAACTGTCTCTCCATCCTCCAAACTGCTTTCTCTTTTCCTTGACATGACTGCTGACATTTAAAAAACTCATTTTAGACTATTATATTATGGGCTCAGTGTTCATAACTCATTTTATACCTCATATTAACATGGTGTACGTTTTATGTTTCAGGCTTTGGGATGCTGCATAAATGATTTTTTAGTAGTTATCCTTGGATGACATTCAAGAAAGATATCATATACTTTAAAATGTTTTAATAAAACATGTTATTAAAAATACTTAGTATACACTATTTTTTTAAAAAGAAAAAATGAGAAATGAGTACCGTGTATGAACTATGCACAAGCTGTATGAATTGGTGATATTTTCAGAAAGAATTCCAAACATGTGATAGGAAGCTGGTAAAATATGGTTGTAAGAGTATGCTAAGTGTAAATCTTTTCCTCCAGCAATAATAAAAATAGCCCAGGGAAGTCTCCGCTCCCAGAAAAAAAAACTACATTATGCTCTCTCATTTTTAATTAAGCCTGTCTAGGATAAATGATATAGGCCAGAGATGGGGGATTACATAAAATCATGGAGGGATGTGAGTTCTCTGTCCTAAGGCAAACTTGTGTTACAGCTCTCTAGGGAGACTGGCTACCTAAATGAGTGCCCTCCACTATCAGGCCAACATAAACATGGCTGGGAACAGGGCAATGCTTTTATGGTTATCTGTCCCTGGAGACCCTGTTTGCTGGGAAAGACACTCTCACTACAGTGACCATTTGCTTGAGAGTAGAAATTTCAGTGTCCTCTCACAGAAGGAACAGCCTGGGGCCACATGCCAGCTGACTAGGCTCCCTAAATGCAGAAGCCTTTCCAGGTAATGGGAACAGAAAGACAAACATTCTCCCAGGATCGTGGTTGTGTAGCTAAACTTTGCCCATCCCTTTCATTTGCCATCACTTGAAATGCAACCACATTTTCTTGGGACAGCTTTGGAAGCTGACCTGCTATTCCATCTCCAGTGGACATGCCAGTCACTCCACCCCTTCTCTGTCTCACTGAAATTTCATCCCCCTCACTGTGTTCTCTTCCATTTCCCCCACCTAGTGCTTGTATGGTGTGTGCATGTGGCGGATGCATGGGGGGGGGGTTGGGAAAAGAGTGGGAAGCACAGAGAGGAGTGAAGGAGTGAGAACTAGAAGAAAGATGGAGAACTTGCAAGTCTTTTTTAAAAATGTTTTTATTTTATAGTTTGTGTGTATGAGTGTTTTTGACTACATGCATACTTGTTGCCTGCAGAGGGCAGAAAAGATCCTCTGGAACTGGAATTACAGACAGGCTTGAGCTGTGGAGGTGCCCGCTCTTGAACCTGGGTCCTCTGAAAGAGCAGCCAGTGCTCTTAACTGCTCATCTCCACCTGTCCTCTCAGTAAGTCCCATTTTTAAATTTCAAGCTTTTGGGCTGATATCAGCAAGTGAGTGCCACTCTGGGGGCTGAGACAGGAGGTCGGTTGCATACATATAGAGCTTTGCTTGCTGTGGCTCCAATGTATGTTCTTATGCTTTTACCTAGTGTTCTGCAACACAATTTTTACCTGTTTGTCTCCTATTATAATATGGCAGGTATTTATGGAGAGCACACTAAGTACTGAATGCTGTGTTAAGTGCTGATCAGGGATTATCATATCTAATTCTCGTAAAAGCACAACCAGGTGAGTATGATCATCAACTCTGGCAACAACAAAGGAGCCAGTTCAAAGGCTGAATGAGCTGATCAGTCACACAGCAGCTTCTCTTCCTATTGGGCTTAACTTCCATTTAGAGAGCCTTTGAATGTTTACTGTGCTGGAAAAATTCTGTGGCTGGGAGCAGTTTTGATTTTTCAGAAAGAGCCATAATTGGTAGGAACAGAGTGTAGGAGATTGAGTAGAGAAATGCCATGTTTGGGCAAAGAACAGTTCCTTTGGGGTTCAGTATAGGTTATGTTTGTATCTTTCACTGCAGTCTTCTTGTCATCCTCCAAGAGAACATAATATGGGGTGGAAGAGCAGAAAGTCCTTTGTTTATGCTCTCTGTCTCTCTGTCTCTCTCCCTATCTCTTTCGTAAAGTGTTCCACATAATCTGTGGATTCACACTCACAGTGTAATTGAGGATGACATTGGAGTTCCTTCCTGCATCTACAAAGTGCTGGGATTACAGTGTTAATATCACTCAAAAACACACCATCATGGAGATATCCAGAAAAATGTATGTTCAAATATCAGGAGGTCATGTCCCAGCCAAGCTGATGTAAAATGTCAGTCGTAATAATGTCAAATGACTTCCCCTCATCCACATAATTACCATTTTATTACTCTAATCAGAAAGATCTTGTTAAACTATTACACAACATTCTCAGAAAGAATAACAAAGTTCTCTTGGAATTTTTCGTTTCTGCCTTTTGGCCTTGGAAATGAAGCCTATTACAAAGTTATAGGTTACAAAAATGCAAAGAAAGTACATAACTTACTCAAGGGTATATAGTGACCGAAAATCTTGCTGTTCCTGCTGTTGGCGCCTCCTTAGGTTATCTGATCAGTTACAAGTACAACTACCAGCTTCCTGAGAGTTCTGAAAGGCTGTAACATTAGCCTGTTATAACCACAGGAAATGATTGAGTTTTGGTCTTTTGGTACTTCAGACCCAATATCATCTCTTTGGAGCTATTTTAAAAGACTTAATAATATATTTTCTTTAACCTAATATATCTAAATTTTCTTTTTTTACTAAATTAATGATGTATAATTGACAATAAAATATTTTTACAAGAATTTAAATTTTTTTATTGTATCAGATACCTACTACATAAATTTCACCATTTTAAGCATGAAATATACACTGAATATATTATTAATATCTGTAAGTATCGCTACTATTTCTAGAACCTTTTTATCATCTCTTTTAATACAAAGGGAATATTGTACATGAGATAAGTTCATTCAACATCTTTATAGTTCTGCAAGCCATACCTGGCAGGCCCTTTGCACTGATAATAAAGAAGACTGGGGGAGCCCTCATATTTCCCAACATTACTTTATAGGATTCTATGAACACAAAAACAGTATAAATAACACTGAACATTTTAAGATAAATTATTATGTTAGACGCTTAAGTCAAGACTCAGTCACTATCATATATTACACATTCAAAAGAGTTCACAGATAGAGGGCACATTACAAAGAAGACTAAATCAGCCAAGGCTATGTAGGAGACTAAAAGATTGAAAGGCCCTCCTCTTAACTGAGAAGAAGCAGGCTACTTTGCCAGGAAGAGCAGTTTGCTGCCATCAACTAGGACAGGGTTAATCACTTAGCTCAAACACAAAGACACCCATGTTAGCACACAGCAGAGAGAAAACAGGATTTGTAACAGACAGAGGAAATAGATGGCAGATGTTAAACAGGAAATAATATAACATGGTAGTAAAAGAAATCTATTCAATTATCAAATTTAATTTAAAATCTTGGCACAGCACATACAAGAAAGTTTCTTTTCTCATTAAAGCCTCTATCACATGTTGAGAAGGGTAAAAATGATACCTGAAGAAAGGATAAGATCACAGAAAGTCTGAAAAACACTTGTTGTGCAGCCTAGAGCATGTTAAGCATTCATGATACAGTCATAGGCATTACTATTTAGGGCTTGGATATGTTCCTGGGTAGTGAATAATGCACTAGAAGTGAAGGAGACAAGCTTTAACTACCATACTGTCAGCAGCAAATGAGGCAAGCCTTGTCAGATTCATGTTCTACATTTTAGGAGTTATACATAACAGCTGGACAATAGCTTCATGACAAACAGAATAGGAATAAAACAAAGTCATTGGTAGTTTGAACCTATTCCATCCAAATCACAAGCCTGGCTAGTTACTTTAAATCACAAATCCTACTTGCTTTTTTATCACTGTGTCTCACTTTATAGCATAATCTTTAAACAACATAGTATCCATTGATATAGATTATTTCACATTATATCCACAATGAAGATAAACCATACTTTAGTTCCCCATTCCATCCAAGGAAAAGCACTAATGTGCTTATGGGAATTAAACAGGTCTGATGAATTACTATATTAAGCTATCTAGAACAAGGGTGATGGAATGGTAAGGGTCACGTGTTTCCTCCAGCTTCAATGTCCTTGTCACAGCTGATCTTGAGCATAGCCAGCACCCTTGTTCTGATCTGCTTTGTTTTAGCACCATAGATGATGGGATTGATCACAGGAGGCAGCAGAAGGTAGACATCCCCCATGAGAACATGCACTATGGGGTCTAGGCTGTTTCCAAAACGGTGTACCACTGATAGGCCAATGAGTGGTACATAGAAAGCCAGAACCACACCAATGTGTGACACACAAGTCCCAAATGCCTTAGCTCGCTCTGACTTGGAAGGCAGTTGCAGAACTGTTCGTATAATCAGAAAATAGGACAAGGAGATGAACATGACATCTACACCCATGACGAGCAGAATGGCAGTTAGACCATAGACTACATTGGGCAAAGTGTCTGTATAGGCCAACTTCATCACATCCTGATGGACACAATAGGAATGGGAGAGCACATTGGAGTGACAGAAGGCCAGCCGCTTGATTAGTAGTGGCAGTGGGAAAAAGAATAGGGATCCCCGGACCAGAGCCACCATGCCGATTTGGGCTGTCACTGTATTGTTGAGCACAGCAGCATGACGCAGTGGGTGGCAGATGGCCACATAACGGTCAAAGGCCATGGCCAGCAGGATAGTAGATTCAACTGCCGAGAGAGCATGAATGAAGAACATCTGGGCAAGACAGGCATCAAAAGTAATCTCCCGGGAATCAAACCAAAAGAGGGCAAGGATCTTGGGCATGGTGGATGTGGACAAAGCCAGATCAATAGCTGCCAGCATGCAGAGGAAAAGGTACATGGGTGCATGCAGGCTTCGCTCCGTCCTCACGATGAACACAACGATACAGTTTCCAAACAATGCCACAGCATACATGGAAAGCAGAGGGAAGCCAAACCAAAACTGAGCTTCTTCCAGTCCTGGGATACCAATAAGCACGAACGTGGCATGTGTGAAGTTGCAGGAGCTCATCGCTGACACCAAGTGAGAAGGACTGGAGAGGGTGAGGTCACACTGACAGCCTGCAAGGGCATGGAGCAGAATCAGAGAGTCCCCTGGAACTTAATGCATGTTATCACTCCCTCCCTCCTCACTCTATCTCCAGCCACACCTCAGCTCTTTCATAAGCTATATGGTTCTCTTTTCCAAAGGAAGAAATATGAATGTTCAAAATTAATTTATTATTCACTATTATGAAGGTACATTTCAAAATAAAGCTTTGGTAGAAAAATATTTATTCCAAAAATGTGACTTCCTCAAACCCTCTTTTTGTATCTGCCTTGACTGTCTGGGTACTAGGCACTCTTCCATTTCATAAAATTACCACATTAGCTCTTTTCAGATAGAGATATCATCCTTCTCTTGTTCTCCCCATCTCTTCTCTGTTGTCCTCTCCTTCATTTTAATCTTTCTTTATTTCTGTTTTTCTTCCTTTACCATTTTTCTTTCTCCCCCTCTCTCTTTATATTTATTAATTCAAATTTCAGAAATATTTACTTGAATGACCTGTTAAGCAAAATGGATATTTTTTGAGACACAGATCTGAGAATCATTCCTTTTGACCTTCACAAGGCTTGCTTCGGGTAGGAGATAGATAAGTAACAAATACATTAAAGCGTGTGATAAAGCTAGCAGAAGAGATTCATTGACTGCAGGGGATAACAAAGACAGAGGAACCTTTCTAGAAAATATGTTCTTTACATTTTAGTCTTGAAGCATGAGCAGAATTAGGTAGATAGAAGAGACAATAAAGGATCTTCCAAGGCAGGGGGAATAGAAAATACTTAAAAACAAAACAAAACAAACAAACAAACAAAGAAAAGAAAAAGGAAACTTACCTCAACTCATAAAACCAAATGTACCAGCTCCCTGTAACTATCTCCTTGTAGATGGAGATGCTGGAAAGATCCATTACCCCCAGCAGCTGGCTACCAGATAACTGGATGCTTGGAAGTCACCACCAAGGGTATTTTATTTTGTTCCAAAGAGAGTTTGGGTGGTAAACCCTGATTTGGGGAGCAGTATTACTGATTTTCTCTGATGATATTCTGAGTTTCCTTTGGACCTGTGCCAGTAAGTTATTCATGTCAAGGGAGAATTTTCTTCTTTTTGTTTTCCTGAGCCTAATATTGTTTTGTTCCAATCCCATACCCCACCTTATCATCTGAGCACTCACATCAAACTCTTTCTTTGCCAAGTTCCCTAATGTTCTTTTTTTTAGAGTTGGTTAACTTCAGCAGGTACTGGCTTGCCTGTGAGAATCAGGGGCTTTGAAGCTTAGAAGTAGATAATGCAGGTGTCCTTGTTGACAGTACCCAGAGTACCCTGATTAATTTGTTTATCTCTCCCAGGATGCTTTTCCCCTTCTAACTAAGGTCTTTAATATAGCTTGGAGATGCCCCTAAACTTTTCCTTAATGGAGAGAGTTTAGAGAAACCAATGCTTTAAATCACACACACACACACACACACACACACACACACACACACACACACTGAGAACTAAGAAATTTTAAAGCTGCAACCTCCATATCTTGGATGAGCAAAGACAAACAGATTAAGAATTCAAAGGTTATACAACCCATATCACTGGCCTCGATTTTTTATACACTTAGGTTTTGTGCAAGTAAAGGAACACCTACTCCTCACTGACAGATAATGAATTCCAAACCTTGCTACTTGATACTGTCAGAGACAATCACACTCTTCAGTTAGATGCAAGATAATTGCAAGAGACTGGGATGAGCATCCCAAAAAGAGCTGTGAGCCCATCCAGAGCTCAACACGCACCACATAATCATCACAGGGCTACTGTAGCCCAGATGCCACTCTCCCTGGGGACTGCACCCCAAGCTGGCCTCTCTGGTTTATCAAGGTATAATCCTGTGACCTCTGACAATTTCTCTGTCCTGGTTTGTCTAGATTTCTGTAAAAACACCCACTCCACATTGTCACATATCCGTTCTGGTGTGGACATACAGAGGAAGAGAAGTCTTGTGTGTTTTCATGTTTTGAAAACAGCCCTGTGTGTTTTTATTTCTATCTTGGATGCAAGCATCTTTCTTTGTATCTGTCATAAACAGTTTGTGGGAGAGAATGCAAATGTCTCAACGAATGACTCTGTGTGGTGTAAGCAAAGCAAAATAAGCTTCCCCAGAGAAAGACCATATTACTTGACCACTGTACCCAAGAGAAATGGGGACAAATGTGAAAAGAAAGAAGATTAGAGGTGTACCAAGAGGCAAAAAGTTACATTTCACATTCTCGATGGCTTTTGCGGCATTGACATATTAAAGGCTTCTCTCACCCACAGTCAGGTCTTTCTGTCATCACTGTCAGGTATCTGTCATCACAGTCAGGTCTCTCTGACATCCACAGTCAGGTCTCTGTGTCATCACAGTTAGTTCTCTCTCATCCATAATCAGGTATCTGTCATCACAGTCAAGTGCTTTCCTAATGCACCCATCTGCATAGCACCTGTCCAGCCTGGCTGGTGCTTAAAGCACAGGGCTAGTTCCTGTTCTATTTGTGTTATTTTAAAGGAGGTAAAACTATTTTTTTTCTAGGCTACATGCCCTTAAACAGCAAATCAGCAAGGTTGTAGCATTGATAGCAGTTCACAAAGCTCCGTATTTCCTACAGTAGTAATGAAGTATATGAAAATGCTCTTCCAAAAACCTTTTATTCACAATAGCATCAATGATAATGAATTTAACCTGAACTGGTAGAAAATTTGTACAAACTATTACTGAGAGAAATTAAATACAATATCTAACAAATGGAATGATGCACAGTGTTCATGAACTATAACACAAAACTATGTTAAGAGTACATGTTTACTATAATTGCTATTGAAGTTTCTTTAGGGTATTTAAACATCAGTTATTAAAGTTAGCATACAAAGTAAAAGAGTTTACCAAGACATTTTCATGGAAATATGTTGTTGTACATTGTCTTCACCACCCTGTTGCTGGTCCCCTTCACACACTCAAATATTTCTTTCTTCTGCTTCATGTCATATGGATTGTATAACACCCCCTTCTCTTCCCTCTTACTTATTTTAAAAATCTCCTTACTCTCCCTTTATATTTTCTACACACACACACACACACACACACACACACACACACACACACAAACACACAGATTCTGCATACATCAGCAAAAGTAATTGTTATTCTGAGTCTAGTTTTCTTTGACACAATGATCTCCAGTTCTATCCATTTTTCTGTAAACAGTACTATTTCATTCTTTGTAGTTGAACATAATTCTGTTATATATCCCCTGCTTTTCCGGAGATCATCAGTAGGGTACTGGGGCTTGTCTTGTAATGAAGTGTGTGGGTCTTCAAGGTCCCTCAATGTGGCAGGATCCTTGGGCTGCCAGACTCCAGGATAAAAAAGACTCACCTGAGAATGGTGCAGTTCAACTCGAGGAGGGCAGCTGAATCTGGCTTTCGCTTTCAGGAGCTGGTCTCTTTAGAATGCTACTCAGTAGGCTCAAAGAACTGGCTGTGGGAGTAACAGCTGGTGCTCCCTGGGATCTGGCAGACAGAGGAGTAAAATGCTCATGTCTACTCGTGTGCTGCTCTCATAGGCTTCCCACTTTTCCTGTCTAGGGAAATAATCTCAAAGGGCCAAGGTCTTGGTCACCATTCCCACAGTGACATATGTGATTCTTTTGACAACAAACACGTGTTCCCACTTCTCCAAGCTGATCTAATTTCCACAGTCAGCCACAAGGTTAGTGTTTCCTCATTATCTGATCTGCTAGACACAGCAGGCAAAGTGTAGGAATAGTCACAATCCTTGAACTGTTGGAGTTTACATTGGCTTTGAATCCCAAGTAGATACACTAGCATGTAGTTTCATTACTCAAAATAGGTCCATTTGTGTCTCCATAACTCTCTCCTTCTTCTCTTGCAGTTTAAACATAGCCCCTGATATAATGAAGTCACTTCTTTTTGTATCTATGTCATCAACAAAGATGGCTCTTTGGTCTATATCACACACTGTTAGTGTTAGATGGAGAATCTCATGTATTCATACACATTCAACAAGTATTTATCAAGAGCTTGTAATTTCATAACCAAATTACAGAAAATCCCCAGGGTTATGATTAGATTGATTGAAATTAAATTAAATTAACATTTAAACTAAATAGAATGCTAGATAATCATAAGGAGAAAAATGAAGATGATAAAAAACATGTTCATATAAGGAGGAGTGACTTAAGTCTCAGGTGAAACTGCCTGGTGGAGATACTTGGAGAGATAAGTGGGGGGATACTCCCATGGAAACATTTGGGGAAAATTGTTTCAGGAAGAGGATCAGAGATGGCAAATAAATTTCCCAAGGAACAAGTATGTCCAGTGCCTAAGGCAGGCAGTGTATTCCAGTGGAGAGAAGAGGGGGAGAGAGGGCAAAATGGAGGACAATTCTGTGAACTGCCCATATAGGAACTTGTAGCACTTAAAAATCAATTTATGTTCTCCCTTCAGATTTCAGTGAGCTGAGGATATTAGACAGAGCTAGATCTAATCCTACAGACTAGTCTTTAATTGTCTCCACTACATGGACTTATTTTTGATATATCACTGTCCATTCTGGTCTTTCTTTCACTGTTACTTTTTAGCATCTTCATACTCCAAGCTTTTAAAATCCAGTTAAAGCACCATATTCTGTCAAAGTCATTTGGAGTAGGGACAAGGCCCTCCCTCCTGCCTCTAGGTTAAGGGGGTATCCCTCCGTGGGGAATGTGACTGATTTTGTTGACCCCTTCTGGAAGGCATCACCCTCCCTGTGGAGTTGGGGGGAATTCGATGGAAGGGTGGTTGGGGGGCATGGGAGGGAGGGAGAGAGGAATAAAGAGAGAGAGGGAGAGGGAACTTGGATTGATATGTAAGATAAGAAAAAAATGTACCTCATGGTTTGCATTCAGTTTCTATTTTTAAAAGGACATTGGTAATTTAAATATTTTCTGCTTATATTTTATATAAATATCGCTTTGGGCCCATATTA